AGCCGCTAGTAATAAATGAGCTCTGCAGGAAGTGGGCGAAGGGAGGTAAGCCAACAAAGAGGGGAGGGAGTGGGCCAGTTTGGTCTTCCTCAGCTGCCCAGGGCACTAAGTTGGCGGCCTTCTCGGCGCTGTACAATCTGGTGGGGCAAATACTAAAGGGCGGTGTTTCCTCTAAGAAGGGTATTGAAGGGGCTGGGCGGGAGGTTGAGGGCATAATGAGGCGGATGTATAGGGCGTAATGATAGGGGCATGCGAGGGCCTCTCTATAGGTCGCTGCAGATATGTCGTATCGTTGCAGAGGGTGCCTGCCCTCACACATAGGCAGTTGTCGGCTTGTCGGTTCATGGAGAACTGCATTGCTGAGATGCTCACACTGGAGCCCCAGGCCGCCTATCGTATCGCGTTTACGAGTAGTCACCTCTGTCTCTACTTGGGCACGCTGGACGTGGCTCGTATAATAGGTATCCGTCAACTTGGTGTCATATTGCGGTCGGCTATGAAGGCCCAAAGCAAGGGCATCAAGTCGATTACTCCTGGGCAGCCAGCTGGGGGGTCTAAGGCAAGCAAAGCGGCAGCAGGAGGAACAGCTGGTGTGGAGGCGGTGCGTCAACTGTATAGTGTATGCTATGTGAGAAGCTCTGCGGTGTGGGTTGCTGCTATGGAACGCCTACCGGAGCAGTTAAAGGACTTGGTAGTGGACTGGAGGGGCGACTTGTTACGAGTTGTTGTTGGTGTAGTTGCACCCGCTAATGGTGATACTGTTGTCTGCGGCTAAGTCCAAGGAAGGCCACACTGTCTATTTGCCCTTCATGCTGCATATGCTGGAGCTCGCCAACTCTCTAGCCGAAAAGGCTAATGTCTTCGCTCCGCTCACTTCCCTTCTGGTATGGCGCTGGTGATGTACAAGAGCGTTGGTGATCATCTTCTCCAGCTCCGAGGGTTGTCGAACTTAGCGGCTAAGGAAAAGCAGCAGACCAGTACTAGGCGACCAGCCACTGCCTCTACTGACCTGAAGCCGACTCAGGTAAGGCGCTTCGCTCCGCCGCCATTTTCGATGTTTCTGCGTCTTAGGTGGACCTCGTTGTGAGGGTGTCCGAGAGGCAACTTGACAACCGTCCAACTAGCCAGGCTTTGCGGAAGTAAGCTTCTCCTGAACTCTGTGTGTATTCACGACAGTGTACA